GTGGACGTACTCCCAGAACTCGGTGACGGCGCTGGTGAGGTTGGTGGTGTCGCTCAGGGAGTAGTTGGAGAAGCAGTGGTCGGTGTTCCAGGTGTTCCCACAGCGTTTGGATGGGCAGGAACCTCCCAGCCAAAAGTGTGAAACGGTTTTCCAAAACAGTGATAAACTGTGACATGGATTTTCCAGGAAACAATATCACGACGTGATTAGGGCAGTGCTGTAGCTCTAATAAAATGTTAACATTTCCCCAGATAGAAAGCCACTTCCAATTAACTGTTGGTAATTAATAGTTACTAATTAAAGCAGCTACCAGGGCAGGAACCTCCCAGCCAAAAGTGTGAAACGGTTTTCCAAAACAGTGATAAACTGTGACATGGATTTTCCAGGAAACAATATCACGACGTGATTAGGGCAGTGCTGTAGCTCTAATAAAATGTTAACATTTCCCCAGATAGAAAGCCACTTCCAATTAACTGTTGGTAATTAATAGTTACTAATTAAAGCAGCTACCAGGGGATGTTGTGTTTATAATCATTGCGCCTTTTGGCTAGCTTCACTCAACAAGTGGTTGGAATTTACCACACAAAGAATAAACATGGATTTGTTACTTCTCTCTCGTTTATACCAAGCTTCAATGCTTAGAAGACAACACGGCACTGAGCATGGTGGGTATTGGTTTGTCTGTCCCAATAAGCTACTCTAGCATGAGCCCAGGAGTGAATTTAAAGTGTGGTAGCTATTTTGTGCTGTCCTCTGCCCTGATTATAAGCAGCACGAAGGGATTCCTGGGAGGTATTTGCACCATGGGGGGCAATGTGACGGCAGCACACCGCTACAGATTTAATAGAATCAGCTCTGGGGCTACAAGCAGTGAAATCACAGCGTCGTGGGCTGCGCAAGCGCGCCGGGCGACTTGCCCGTGGTGTGCAGTGCCACGGCCAAGGCAGCCCAACCAGAGCAGCTCGGGCACCTCTCTGTGTTACGCGGGAGCCCAACACGAGCAGCCTGGGGCAATGTGACGGCAGCACACCGCTACAGATTTAATAGAATCAGCTCTGGGGCTACAAGCAGTGAAATCACAGCGTCGTGGGCTGCGCAAGCGCGCCGGGCGACTTGCCCGTGGTGTGCAGTGCCACGGCCGAGGCAGCCCAACAGGAGCAGCTCGGGTACCTCTCTGTGTGCCGAGGGAGCCCAACAGGAGCAGCTCGGGTACCTCTCTGTGTGCAGCAATCTCACTTCCCGAGTGCAGCATACGCAGATAGATGCAGAATGGCTATTCTGCATGATTTCCCTCCGCAGATAAGACCTCAGGCTCCAGCTCAACAAAGCTTTAAGAGGCTGTTTGTATCCTTTCCTATTCGTCCACGAACACAGAAACCCTTTAGAAAGATCATCTGTGTTTCAAGTGCTTTGTGGCATCAGTGCCTTCACCCCCTGCCTAACTCGGTTCACTCCAGCAGATGACAACCCCTCATGTGCATGCTGGCTTGGCAGAAGGACTATGCAGGGCCAGGCAGGGACACCCGGGTGGCTGCCCAGACTGTTTGCACACACCCAGTGACTTCATTGCGGACCTGCTGGTTGCAGTGAAGCCAACGCAAGGGCTCGAGCGGCGCAGCGCAGCAGCCCCGCGACCACACGGTTTGCACGTCAGAGAGGCTGCGCAGCTCTTGCAAGGAGAGGCAGTCAGGGGGGCCGTTTGTTGCTGCTCCATTTCCTCTGAATTTCAGAGGACAGAAACTGCGGAAGGCAAACTGCATTGCTGTGAAGATTCAAAGTATTCACGGAGTCACAGAACGTTACGGGTTGGAAGGGACCTCTGTGAAGGGCAATGGGATCTTGGGGTGCATCAAAAAGAGTGTGGCCAGCAGG